CTGCGGTTTTGCTCGACAGTTTCCTGTGGCTCTTTGTTTCAAACCATCCTGGACGTGGTCCGGACCCTTCTGACTTGAGGACGTTATCCATTCTTCGAACCACACTTCTTTAGTTGACACCCTCGTTAATAATCTTTTACCTTCTTGTATTGTGTCTTGGTTGACTATTAGAGGGAGCTAGACCCCGAGGTGCGTTCTCAAGTTGGGCGGCAACCCAGTTTTACTAGTGTCTCTTTTACCACTCGGTTTTTAGGGTCTTTGGTGTGCCCCCCTTTTTGGGGGATCAGGTTTACTCGGGGACTTTTTCTCTCGATTACTGGCGGTTCATTGTTTCCCGGATGGTAGGTCATTGGTGATGCGGGGGCGTTGTCCCTGAGTTAGGACCCGTTCACGGTCTGCACAGGGGGGGACGAATTCGGTTCAGTACAGGTCCGGGCCAGACTTCAAACGATTCTCCCGTAAATCTACTAGGGTCTTTTCTCCTAAGCCCTTCACAGGATACACAGTCTACTTTGTTTTTATCTTGGAAAAACCATTTTTGAGTTGATCTGCACAAACCTTCCGTCTTTCTTACGACTCAACCGGTAGGGTTTCTTGTGGATATGGGATGACATGACACTTTTGTACCCCCACCTTTTGTAGTACGAAACCCCGACAAAAAAGAAGACGTTTCCCTTGGTCCTGCTGACTAGGCACATTTCCTTCTTACTTACCCCGGTCATAGCACTCTAAAACTTCACTGTTGGAGGGTGGAGTTTGGAGTGTGACTGTTTGAGGTTGTGGACAGGTGTCTTTTATACTGATAACGAGTTCAAACAGGTGCCATTAATACATACAAATACTTATTTTCCATCATAATTTCCAAATAAATTCTTTAAAAATCAGACAATGTGATTTTCTGGATTTTTTTTTCTCATTTTGTCTCTCATAGTTGAGTTATACCTACAGGCCTCTCTCATCTTTTTAAGTGGGAGAACTTGCACAATTGGTGGCTGACTAAATACTTTTTTGCCCCACTGTACATAGATACATAGATGTATCCAAGGCTGTTTTTAATGTTCTTGGCAAGATGGCTGTCACACCCAGGTAAAGTATTTTAGGAATTTCCCATAGAAGGTATGTATAAAGGAAGTAAACACAATCCTCTCGACATCACCCATTGGTTATTGGACTAGGCTTTCAAGGCCTCAAGTATGTCATTTTTGTCATTGCCATCTTGGTCTTTTGGATCCAGAAGTGGCCATATTTGGACGAGAGTGCAGGCTGGGGAGGAGCAAGGCTCATCACGTGGTAACATTTTGGATACTAGTTAGGCTGGCTGAACAACGTGTGGTAGCAACGCAGTGGTAGCGACCTAGTGATTTGTCAATAACAAAGTAGCCACGACCAAATGCTTATTTTTGTTTATTTTATTCTAAATGGAACCATAATATACAAAATAACATCGAGCTGTAATGACGAATACTTGCAACTAGCCGTAGAGGACATAAAGTTATCAGAAAAATGTGAGTTTAGCGTAATTTTCTCATAGACTTCTATTCAATCAAACTTAATTTGCAACTAATGGAATCTCTCTCTGCTGGCCATATCAAGAATGCAGGTTTAAAGCACTTCCCTATTGGCCTTACTTTTTCCACCAGGAAGTTGTCGACCACTTCTAATGAAAGCCTATTAGGAAGCACGTGGTATTGCAGAATTACCCCTCTGAGAATATTATAGATAATCAAATTTGATCATATGTTCGTTTGGTTATCAAAAATGTAACAAATTCGGCATCTGTAATGTGGGATTTTACCAAAACTTACTCTGAGGACTGTCAGTGTAGTTGGGGGTGAAGCCATTGGCCCTGCAGTCTTCACAGGGCAGACCGCCTGTCTCAGCAGGGCAGCTGCACTGTACAGGCCAGCTGCTGTACAGGTCAGCCGACGCCTCACCAGAAGCCCCCCCCACGTCGCTCAGATACGTCACCTCCGACTGGCTGTATTCATTGGGCCCTTCCTGTGTTAGAGTACCAGGGAGGCTGAGCTGCTCATCGTGCTCTACAGGTATGGAGGATAAAAGGCTCATCTCAGTTTTAAGGGGGTTTCCATCATCCAGGCTGTGGGGTTGGTCCGCAGGGGGGCAGCTAGGTGGAGGAAGTAGCTTGCTCAATGCCAAAAGAACCTGAAGACAGTAAAGATTTATAGTATTTATCTCATCCACATTCACCTAAATGAAGGTTGGGAAGTAATGGGTTGGGATTATGTACTCAGATTACACAAAATAAATCGTTTTTATTAAGATTTAGAAATATGTGCAGTTAGATTATAGTAACATTGTCAGGAATTACTTGATATTTGAAATATGGCAATTTCCATACCCAAATGTTTCAGAATAAATAGAGAAACCAAGGAAACATTCCTAAAGCAAAGATTGATCCTTGATTACTCACAGTCTCCATGCTTGGTCTGCTGCGCTGTCGACTCGCCGTGCAGTCCAGGGCCAGACTCAGCAGGCCGAGGGCGATGTCAGTGGGCCACCGACCTGCCGCCACATCCAAAAACTGTAGACAAGAGTCCACACCACCGCTGTGCTCCACCTCCGTTACTAGCAGCTCTCTCTGACATAGCAGACACAGAGAGCACGAGGTTACTGCATACTGCAAATAGTGACTATTGTAAGACATCAACCTGGTTGCTAAAGAACTCTATGAACTTTCTATTCTACCTTCAGTGACTCACCAGTGGTTTTTGTTTAGGTAATTCCTCTTTTACCTTCCTTCCTGTTACGGTTTCCATTATAACCTGAAGGCATGCAAACGAGAATTAACGGCAATAAATCATAATGTTTCTATCAGAAATCATAGTCCACTACAGTCACAACAAAGATATGATGATACAACAAAGGATGTCTATGTGACATCCTAATTTACATACAGGGTGAGAACGTTTTGCTGAGCTTATATTATTTAGTTACAATCACCATCCCAAAGCTGAAAACATCCAAGCTAGAGGAGAGCTTGCCGTCTCGGATGTAGTCCTCAGAAAGGTATGCCAGGTTGCTGTGGGACTTCGTATCCAGAGTGATGGTACAGAGCTGATTGGATGAATTAGGACGGAGGCGGGCCAACCCAAAGTCAGACACCTTGGGCTGCAGGGTGTCATCCAAAAGTATGTTTGCACTGTGCAGAAAACCCATATGGACACTTTGTAAACTTTGTTAGATAACTGAGATAACATCTGTAGTTAATACAAGCTTAGGAGATGTTCACCTATTGTTCTAAGTCACAAAATAAGATGGTAAGGTACCCATACGAGGAGCCTTTACGTCATCTTATAAACCGTGACTAAAGATTGATTTGCCGAACATGGCGTGGTGACGTGAAGCCATGCGACTGTCATGTACAGTAGTTTGTTTATAGCATAACGTTAGCTATTTACTTTTGGAAATTGCATTTAGGCTTCAACTATTATAAAAGGGGTTTTAATATGTGAAGATGATCCTGCAGAACAAAATATGTAAGTATCATGAACGTGTGTTAGCCACAGATCTTATTTTCTGCAATATACCAAAATCCAATGGAAAAAAAACATTAGATTTGTGTTGAAGTCCCTGCAATGCTATCTATTCGGTCTATCTAAAAAAATATGTCAGCACTGCACCACTCTATTATGGCCGTAACATTTCAGATTGTTTCTTTCTAAGCTTGAAGCAATTGGTCATCCTGTAAATGATATAATGTTCAGGTTGAGTGTTGCACATCGCAGTGACAATGCTTTTCTGAAGAGAACAGGACAGCCAGAATGTGGAGGCGCTGAGTGATCAGGAGGTGTACCTGGAGATGTTGCCGCAGATCACCGGGCAGGGCTGGACTGTATGGAGGTGATACAAGGCCTTTGCAGTTCCCTTAATGATGTTGAGACGCTCTTGCCAGGACAGAGGGGGCTCTCCATCCTGTACAGTGACAATACACAATATTAAATATAAAACAAAAATATGCTTTCAAGTAAATTAACAATAACTGTGGTTTGAGACTCTGTGGGTCTCAGTCCTCTTTTAGGCAGTCTGGGATATGATTTTAAAAGCTAAAATGCTAATTAATCCATCTGCTGATCTTAAAATCTGTTCAATAAATGTTTAAGGTAAGGTAAGGCTTATAACCATTTAATGCAACCATGGATAGAATAGGAAAACAAAATAGAATTGGAAGGGATGAAACCCTCTTTAATGGTCACACATGCAGAGCACAGAGCACACAAAGTGACATTTGGCCTCTGCATTTAACCCATCCTAGTACTAGGAGCAGCTATTGTACAGCGCCCGGGGATACATGTTCACTTCCTGCTTTTGATTGTGAAACTGTTACCTAGAAACTTTTTTTCTCTGGTTTTGTTACAGACAGGAACACACTTGCTTGTGGACATACTGCAGTAGGCCAACAGATGTTGATAAGTAAAACCCATACCTTATGGTGTAATCTGTGGAAGAGTGATCCATTAGGGAGGTAAGGATAGAGCACACAGTAGCGGTCCTCATTAGAAACACAGCACAACAATTCTAGGATGTTTGGATGTTGGTACCTGTAACACATCAATTCATAAAAATAAACAACTCTCTATCAGATCAATAAAGGAAGGTCATTTGAGAGTTGTTACATACAAAAGATGAGTTTCCATTTCTTTTCTGAAGACATCCCAGAGGTTTTTCCAGGACTGCATTTTTACCTGAAGAAAGATTTATAAAGAATGCATGAAAGCCGGAATGAGTTGAACAGCAAGCAAGCACATCTCCCAAGATGTCAGAGTGTTAGAATCAATAATCACCTGTTTAAAAAGCTTAACTGCGATCATTTGATCTCCCATGTGTGCTCTGTAGATATCAGAGAAGTGGCCCTCTGCAATTCTCAAGTCAGGATGGAAATGTTTGGTTACTTCTATGATGTATTGGAAAGTCGCCTCTCGTGGGAAGGATCCCTTATAAGAGAAAATACAAAAAAATGTCATTTATTTTCTTATTTCTCACAGGTAATACAGGCTGAAGGCTTAAAGGCACAACATGGAATTTTCTGCCACCAGGGTCTCTTAGTTAAAACCGTAACAAAAGACAGAGTGATGGTGGCTTTGTGAAGTAGCGTGGGATCATGGGAGTTGTTGTTTGCTCCAACAGTGCTGTTGTTGCAGTCGAGCTTCTGTTCTGGGGCATTTTTACAAGGATCTGGATTTTCCACAAAAATCTCTGACCAAAAGGACTATGGAAGTTAAACGGGTAAAGACACAGCAAATACCACTTAAAATGACCAAGATATATAGTTATATATAGGTATATGGTAACAAAGTGGCTAAAAGAGAGTAGATTTATGACAGCTTACAGAACTTATGGAGCTTGTGGAAAGACAATTTCATGTTAAAAGGTTATATTTACCATTTAAACAAGTGAACAAACAATTCTACCTTATCTTTAGATGCTGACATCGGCCCTTTGGAATCTGCTTGTTGATTGCTGCTGGGCAAAGGCGACTCTGAAATAGACATATTGCCCAAATGGGAAATGTAATATTTATTTCTTGATAACTGCGTTATATAAGCAAACCATATTATGGTTTGCTTATATAACACATGCACCACCAACAGGAACTGCGAAAGGGCTTTCCATTTCCCCTTTTCGATGTTACTTCCCTCAAAAACTGATTCATTCCCCTTGGGGATACACATCTTTGCATTGACAATAATGGAAGCTTAAAAAAGCCACCACAATATTTGCAACAACTACTGGAAATATAAAGCAATGAAACCTATGATGTAACGTAGTAACCTGCCCCATTGGCCCTGCACTAGTTAAGAAGGCTACAGATAGAGCTTTTCAGGGTTTACCTCTCCTGTGGTATGTTATATAGGTTTTTGTGCATGTAAAAAAAAGTCTCCAAAGGCAAAGGAGTTTCTCTCCCTCACTCTCCCAGTGCCTGAAACACCTCCATTAGACTCCTTTGTTTCCTTCCATAACATAGTGACGTCGCTTTGTAACACTAGCACTTCTATTGGCTAGTGCTCCAAGACCTGGTATGTGATAGGCTGAGGGGTGGGATATCTCTAAGTGGTTGACCAATCACATCAGAGCTGGCCAGCTATCCAATCAGAACAGACTGGCCTCTGGTTTCAGACAGAGGGTGAAAAGACCTTTTCCTAGAATAGCCCCTTATAATCACCTACGCTAAGTTAATTTTTTCACCAAGTTTTTTTTTTTTTTCCTCAAGTCTAAATGTACCATTAAGTGTAGCACTTATAGTTTATGTTTGTCCTGATGGCCATACTGTAAACTATTTGAAAACCACTGCTTCTCAACCCTGTTTGTTTTTGTTTCCCATGCACATGAGTGTCCAAGGTGTCTCTCTCTCTCTCTCGTTTAATTCTGTCAAGACTTCTATTGCAAACACAATCTGCTCAATTGAGTACCAGCGTTTTCTTAATGTGCTATAAGCAGATAAGTAAGTAAATAACCTTTGCCTTTAATTGTTTGTAACTGACCTTGAGCTTGACTCGTGAAGAGCTGCAGGGCCCTGAGATGTCCCATGTCTTTGAGCAGGTTGAGAAGGTCCTGCACTCGGGAATTCTCCTGAGCCCAGGACCACAGCAGCTCTCTGGTGGGGCTCCGACCCGCCAACTCCGCTCGCTCCAACATGCGGACTTCTAACAAGCTGGGGACAATTTGGACAGCTGGGGACCCACAAAGAGGATGGGCATACAATATATAAAATCAAGCTCACAGAGGAATACTGTGTGTTTATAACAAATATGAATACAGGTTCATTCACCTCTTATCTTAACATATTACACAATTCTTAGTATTGTATAATAATATGCCACATTGAAAAAAAAACAAATGCTAGCATTTCTGAACTTCCTCATTATTATTTAAAGAATACAAAAACAACGGCTCCTTTGTCAACATTGTTCAACAAAATAGATTGTTGTATTTCTTATTGATTGTATATTTGCAGTGGTGTGAAGTAACTAAGTACATTTACCCGAGTACCATGTACTTTACATGTATTTCAATTTGTTGCTACTTTGTACTGCTGCTCCACATTTACCAGCTGCACATGAATGCATCAATAATCATAATCAAAACATATCATTTATATTATTCTAAAATGGATCAATCTGCATAATGAGTACTTTTACTTCAGCTACTTTAGTACAGTTTGAAGCTAATACCTTTGTACTTTTACTTGAGAGAAGCCTTGAACATTTGCAATGCAAGGCTTTTCCTTGAGTATTCCTACACTCTGGTACTTCTACTTGAACAAGATAAGAGTACATCTTCCACCCCTGTATTTTTGTGATAGACATTGCATATCCAACAGTATAAAAAGTTACATTCAGAGAAAGTTTCCTGTTAATTACAAAAATCCACGAGTTAATTGTTATCTTAGTGGCTGCCGCTGCGGTAGACTTGTATCTCCAAACTTTAACCATGAAAAAGTAGTTCCTCACCTAGTACACGCCACCCGAACCTGTCGTCTCCGCTGTCCATGATTCTACAGAACATTTCGATGATAGCCGGGGGGACATCGTAAAGGAAGGTGGAGGGGTCCATGTGAAAAGCCGCACAGACAGGAGACAATGAAACACTGCGAGGCTTCACTGTGGTTGCTCAAATACGGAAACTCCCTCCGCCCCGTTACGCAGACAACTAAAGGAGTCATTAGGCAGACTCAAAACAAAACAATTTAGTAAAAAAAAACGATTCAAGCAATGTTGCACCAATTTACGAGTGAGCATTGTCGGAAGGACACACCATTTTAACATCAAAGACAATGTTAAAGGCTGCGTCAAATTTCGCCATTCGACATTCCGCCATAAACTGCCATTATCATTGTTTACAACAAACTTTAGGCTATTCTATTATTGGTTTATTTATATATTTGCAATATTTTAAGAACATAACTAAACACTCACGTGCCATAATTGATAGTATGTGCTTTTAACAAAGCGGAAACCTGTAGTTTCCTGGTGTTTTTCGAAGAAAACATACTTAATTCGGCCTCTAGAGGAGTTTTACTTTGTTGTTATAATGTAAGTTTAAATACACATGCAAAAACAGGACCTAATATGTATATTATGCCCGAAATAAAAAAGGTAAAAACACATTTCTCTGTGTATTTTAGCTTTAGTTTAATGTCAGTTATGGATTTATCCTCTATAACTGACTAATTAAATCGTATTATAGGAAGAGATTGTGTGTCATTGTGTTGGGCAAGTTACTTTTAAAAAGTAACTAGTTAGTTATAGTTACTGCTCTCAAAAAAGTAACTAGTTACTTTATTAGTTACTAAATTATAAAAGTAACTAGTAACAAGTTACTTTACTTTAAAAATAATAACAATAAAAATACAAGTTTTTGTGTTGTTTTTTGCTGACTAGTTCTCTGAAGGCAACAGACTCGACCGTTGCGATGGACAGCATGTCCTCAACAACATACCTGGAAATCTATTTAGTTGACTCTGGGTGACATGTGGCGATTTGAAAGAATAGTTTTTTGGCTGTTTAGATGGTGTTGCTCCATCTGGGTCACTGCCGGTGGTTGAGACGGTGGGGTCTTTGGCGACTAGTTTTATAGCCCCATGCACATTAGTTAGGTGCTTCAGGAGATTGGCATTGCTGTTATTCGATGTGGACAATGCTTCCTGTCTGTCCTGCACACATTTTACATTTGACCGTAATACTTTTTTGCGTCCTTTATCCCCACAAATTGAAAATAGTGGTTATATTTCCAAGTTGTAAATGTGCTGCTGCTCTCGCTGATACTTGCATCTGCCATTGTGTGTGTGTGTGTGTGTGTGTGTGTGTGCCGTGTGTGTGTGTGTGTGTGTAGCATTAGGTTAACGCATATAAAAAGTAAATTCAGTTAAGAATATTATAAAAAACATCACAACAATTAGAACACTAAAGACGTACTCACGCTGCAGAAAGACCGAGGATCGTCTCGAAGGTTTCTTCTCCGGGATCCCAGAGAGACGAATTAATAGTTATCAGGGAACGTTAATTGTCCCTTCAGGTCTATGTCAAAGTCTTATTACATGCAATGTTCAGAACCATCTAATTACAAATAGAGGACGTGTGGTAGGACGTCCGGAACTTCTGAACCCCAGTGGGTCGTCATTGGGTTCTATGTTGCAGGGAAAACTCGAATAGTTATTTTACGAATAAGTAAGATCATTCCGCTGCGCCCCACTCCCTTCAAGTCCCCTTCCGGTAGTTCGCTATTCTGTGTTAATGAAGACAATTTCTATGTACTATTGCTACAAACACCACAACTCCTACCAAAATCCCCCTTACTCATACAGCAGGGACAGTTCTCAGAGACAGTACTGAAGCTTAGTAACTACCCCTAGACGGGATTCCTTTGTCTCCCTGGTCTTTGTCGTGTGTTGTGTGTGTGTGTGTGTGTGTGTAGGGTGTGTGTGTTGTATGTGACACTTCGTTGTGCTACCCTTAGTTGGGTGTTGAGGCTGAAATGATGGACCCTTAGGGCGGGTCTTCCCTTTGGCGTGGTTGACCTTATGACCGGGTTGAGTGACAGATCGAGCGAGTCTTCACTTGAGACACATATTTATAACACAGTTAAAACTTCTACCCAGAACAAACTGAACGGCAAAGACGCTGTATCAGAGTGTGCTCCAATCTTGGACTGGGCCTCAGAGACGTCTCACGAAGCACTAATCCTCTAACCCGACTACATACTAACAGTGACAATGAATGGGTAATTTCGTCGTATAACAAATCGAACATAAGAGACCGACGGAAAAGATAGGGAGTGGAAAATGGCTTAAATGGGTTCGAATAGTTTGCTTGGCCTCTGCTCCAGACAAACATTTTAGGGAGGTTTACGAGGTTGTTTGGTGTGTGTGGTGTGTGTGTTGTGTGTG